TTCAAATCGCATGTCTGATTATATATTTTAAAGTCATTTATAATGCTATGCTAAAAAAGCAATGATAAAATGTGGAAACTTATGATACCGTGTTAAGGTAAAATGTCAAAAATAGAACTATGGATAAGCTATAATTAAAATTTTGTAGAACTTAGCATACACATTGGAAGTAAATACGTCAAAATATTAATTGTGTATTGGGGCATAGAGGGGTTTGTGGGTCCCCTTCCCAGAACTGAGGGAAAACTGTGGAACTTTTGCTGACTACCATGAAACTATCTATGGGCATACACACAAAATTCTACTCGAGCAAGTCTCAGGATGCTTCACAGACACCAATAACATGAGGCCTACATGGTGTGTAGTTTAGTGAGGCAGACAGCGGAGGGAAGCACATTCTGGACAAAAGAAACAGCTGGATAGGAGCCCAGAACATGAGAGAGAATGCTGGGTTCAAGGAATTGCAGAGGACTGTTTGGATAGGGAGCTGAATACTTCCTGGGAAGGCGGAGCAGACAAGGCTGGAGAATTCAGATGACTACAAATCCCTAAAGTTTTGAGATGACTTTAGATTTATCCTGCAGCCGATATTGAGGAGCCACTGAAGAGGTTAGCAGTGCCAGAATGTGACCAGATTTAGAATCTAGAAAGCTCACCTGAGGAGAAAAGACTGCAGGAGTCAAGACTGGAAACTGAGGACGCACTTAGTTCAGTGATTCTTAGACTTTTGCATCTGCCATCCACAGTAAAAAAAATAATGTTTAAATTGCAACCCAGGTAATATATATAATCTAAATACGAATGTGTATATATGCAAATAGGAGTGAATCAAAAGTTTCAATAAACAGCACTTAGCTTTAACTCATGCACTTCACTCCGACTTTTCTATTCTGCTCCATTCTGTTCTATTCATTTCATTTTTTAAAAAAGTGCTGATCATGATCCACTACAATGATTTCACAACTGCTAATGGATCTCGTCCCACAACATGACACATGCTGAGCTGGAGGGTGTTATAATAATCTATGGGAGAAAAGAGGGCGAGGGGTGGATGAAAGAGGCAAAGGGGCACATGTGTACAGTGACGGATAGCAACTAGACTTTTGATGGTGAACACGATGTAGTCTATACAAGAGCTAAAATATAATGATACATACCTGAAATTTATATAATACTATAAACCAATATTGCCTTAATAAAAAATTTGCTTTATTGAGACACACACACCCACAAACTAAACATATACTAAGAAGTGTCTGGAAGAATAGAGAAGAGGAACTGACAGAGTCAAGTGGGATGTAAGAAGTAGTGTCAATGGTAGTTGGTGAAGGATTAGATAGAGATATAAAGAAAAGAAAAGTCAAGAATATGTGCCAGATTTTTGTTTGGGGAACTAAGTAGATGGTAGTACTATTTGGAGAAGTAAGGAGTGCAACCGGAGAAATGTTGAGGGGGAGTTAATTAGTTCAATTTTGGCTATTTTGAGTTTGAGGTGTGTGTGACATTCAGATGATGCTACCCAATGAATGGAAAAAATAGTTTGGATATTGGAAAATGGATCTAGGCTGAGACCTATTGATGTAAATGATAGATTTGGAATTAAAAAATGTATAAATCATAGGAGAGGATGTAGGATGAGAAGAAAGTAAGCCCAAGAACAGAATTCTGGGAAATATTATCATTTAGATGACTGATGGCAGAGTAGGGAGCCATAAAAGACAAATAAGAAAGATCAGAGAAGAAGGAGGAAAACCGGGAGAGACTTGTGGGATGTTGAGGGAGAAGAGTCTGGAGGAGAGATTGGTCAATAGTGTCAAATAGAATGAACTGGAAAAGGATCATTGATGACTTTAGCAATAAATCTTGCAAGAGGACGATAAATATAGGAAGCCAGCTTACAATAGCTTGAGGCAGGCTACGCTTTATATTAGCTGGGCCCAGGCAAGATGTTAATGGAGGCAAACACACTGTATGTCTAATATCTAAAAGCTGTGAACCAATAGAGCCAACAATTCAATATGTCTTACCTTTCCAACTTGATAAATATTCCTGTATAACCATCTGGAAGGCCAACCTTGAATTTTGAACTCTTGGATTCCTCAGAGTTCTGCTCTGGAATGTGGTGGCTTGGAGAGGTCAATCCAAGGTCCCTACAGGAGCCCCCACTTTTTTCCTCCTATCCTGGTAAACTCCACACCGTGAGGAACGCTGCATACACACATAGGGGTGGCCACCCAGTCTGTAGGGCTAAATTCCATCCACACTTCCTTGCCTGCCAACATCCACCATTTGGCCACCCGTTCGCCCTTGGGGTGTGCCCACCAGCAGAGTGATCTTCCCTCCAGAGAGCTGACCAGAGAAGCACCTCCCCCCAAAATGCGTGAGTAAGAGCACATTTACATACTTGGAGGAAGAAACTAACGTCAGAGGAGTAGTTGAGAGCTTGAAAATAGTATAAGTGACTAACAGAGCAAGTCCCTGTAGGAGTAATAGGGGTCAGGATGCAGAACACAGCGGGGACAGGAACGGGACCTCGGCCCCCATAGGAAGGGAAGGACATTATGGATACAGGTTAATTTGTAGGGGAGAGGGAGTTTGATAGTGCTCATACTTTATGCTTCCATTTTCTCTGTGAACTAGGAAACAGTCTCTGTTGAGAGAAATTGGTTGGGGTTGAGGGGGGATGAGGAGAGAAACCCTGACAAATACACTAGCTTTTCTTAGACAAGTCTCCACTGCAGTGGCAGAGAGAGGTGCTCAGAGGTGAGTGAAAGACCACCAAGCGGCCGTCAGGACCAGGCTGAATTTGGAATAAAACATTCCAGGTTGCTACAAACTGCATGACTGAGATTTTTCTTGGCTGTGAAGGAACAGGAGGCATAATGGTCACTGTAAGGTAAAAGCAAGATCTCGCTCACAGGCAGTTTGGTGAACGTTTAATGGGTAATTATATGATTACTTTTGAGATTTTTCTTTAATATCAAGGCACAGAAAATGGAAACGGAAAGGATCTTCTTCCTTATAAGGGGCTCCAAGAATGCACGCCTCATTTCCAAGGTCCAGCGTAAGGAAGAGAGCTCTACTTCCCTTAGGAATTATTTCAGAGCTTAACAGTTATTGTAGCCAGGAAGCTTATTTTTTCTCCTCCTGATATTTAGTCCAAATTATATTCTTCTTGATTTCAACCTATTATTGTTACTCATTTCCTCATGGTTAACTTAGGAATCTCTATCCCTTCCTGGTATTTACACCTTCCAAATATTATGTCGACTTATCACCTGACCTGGTGATAACTGTTTAAAAATATACATTTTCGGTTTATATATAGGATGATGGTTTTACATCCTATAAACACACTACACATGGATGTCTAGGGACTTGAGAAAATACACTTTTGTGTGAGTGAAAATATGTAGACCATATATACCTGATCTATGTAATTACAATCTTCATAATCATTCATTTTAGATTTGCCAACTCGCACATGTGGAAATGTTCAATTTGTAATGTGATTATAACACAAAACAAAGCATGTTTGATACCTGTGGCTTGGTCGTTTCATGGTAAGTGCAGAAAATTCAAAAAACCGTGTTACATTTCATGTTCCCGGCCAAGTCAAACTCTGAAAGTAGCTCTATAATTCTTGGGGAATCTCTTTAAGCAGACTTGTGTCAAGGCCAATTAGAATCCAAACAGCCTTTTTCTAATTGGGGTGAGGTATGCAGCTGAATAATTCTGTCATTAAGCAAACCCCTTATAAAGGTTACAACTCCAAGGCAAACCTCAGCCCCAGGGCTGAATAAACACAGGAGGCTCGGAGTGCGGCATTCCACGACTGGCACCTTCGCCCTGTGAGCCCCTGGGAGGGGGGTTTTGGATTTCTTTCTATGCTAGTGCCACACACCTCTCCCTCCACCCCCTGCCATTTCTCATACCTGGCAAAGATGTAACAGAATTAAGGGGGCGAAGGTAATGTTTCCATTAGCTTTCCCCTTGTCAAGAAGCCGTATTGTTTTTCCTTTTGAGTGATAAGAGAATGAGTGAGAATTCTGCAGAACCTGGGTAAATCCACGTCTGCTGTGGCATTCATGGCTTATCCCAATTAGAACTCTTCCGTCTTTTTCTGACTTATCTCCCCCTACCCCTCCTCCTGTCCCCGAGCTTCAGCCACCACTCAGTACTGCTCTTCATGGGATATTCTGTGCAAGTTGTCTATTTATCTACATCCTTGTTCCCACTATTGCCTCTGACAGCAGTACTCAGCTATTCATAACACTTCACACAGGCTTGAGAAGTTTGCTGACCTGGCTCAAACCCTGACTCCACCAGTTATAGACTGTGTGTTATTAGGTAACGTATTTAACTTCTGTAGGTATCACTTTCCTCAGCCGTAACGGTTACTTTAATATTAACCTCATAGTTTATTTTGGGGAGATAGAATTAAATTAATGCATGCTAAGTGCCTAATAACAACAATAATAATAATACCTAATCCTGTGGCATAGGTTGGGATCTCTGCGAAAGAGACTTTGAAGTGGAGATTTGTATGCAGGAAGTTTATTGGGGAAGTGTGGGTGGAATCAATACCTTCGGGATTGAAGGAGGTAGGACTCGGGGGAGAGAAAAGTTCAGCTGTGATGCAGTTACAACAAAGATCTCAGTTCTTTTTGTGAAGAGCTTTGGAGCTGAGACGACCTTTAGAGTTGTCCCAAATTGTGGCAAGGAGGTTGGTCCTTTACATCCAGCATCAACAAGTCATTGGGTGAGGGCTGGTCCTGAGAAGGAAATACGGTCTTGGGTAAGGTGGCTGATTCATCTGAGGGCAATTTCCAGTAGCTGAAGGACTAAATGATTAGTACTGAAGTGGGAAAATACGCATAGCCCATCACAGAATCCCTAGGGACCACTGTTGGCATTGCTTGGATCCACTTTCTGGGAGAAACTCCTTCAGGATCCTGTTGGGTATGTTTTCCTGGAGAAACTTAAAAAAAAGAACATTAGCAGGATGAACCACAGCTGCTACTGCTATAACTAGGATTGAAGCTGCAACTGATATTCATAATCTCCCACCTCTATCACCTATTTTAAATTCTCCTGGTTAGTACATATGCTGGTGTATGTGACTTCACCTGTGGGGATGACCCAGACTCTTATCTCTTAGAGGTCTGATTTCATGGTCACCATGACTTCCTCAATCCGGGCCGCTTCACTTCTCCATTTACCAACAAAAATGGCAAGGAAGTGTCAAGAGACACCCGGGTGGATCACATGAGCACCAAACATATTCTTCCCTGTTGTGTGATGGCAACTCTCCCTCCTTCTGACCATCAGGCTTGATTATCCCTGCTAGCACAGTCACCTCTTTCCTTGCTGCTGGTCTCTTGACATGAAAAGTCCAAAGCGACTAGGCAGCATCTACAACTTAAAGTTTAGTATAATATTCTCTAGTCAAAGCACTTCCCTTCAAGAATCAGGGCCTCTAAACCTGCAGATATGGAAAGCACACATTCCCCAGGTCACTAGGAGTCATGGTGGGACACTCCTATTCTTGGACTCAGGTATTCTACATATTGAAGACAGAGCACCATGTAATGATCATTGATTTAGGTTATATACTGCATCATGGAGGATGGTGCCCTATCTTCATATTGTATCATCTCCAAGCTGGTCCCTTAACTACACTCTTCCATCATTCTATCAAGCCAACTGGGTGGTGCAGTATGTGATACTGCCAATGAATCCCATGGTCATGTGCCCAGTGCCATACTTCTGTTCGCTGTAGAATATCCCTTAGTCCAATATGACGTTGTGTAGGATCCCATGTTAGTGATGAAACACAGTACCCCTCAGCTAATGGTGCTGGTTGAGGCCATCAGGCAAAAAAGGCAAATCCATACTTAGAATATATGTTGATTCTTCTCAAGATTATTTGCTGCCCCTTTCAAGGTAGAAGGGGTCCAATATCATTAACTTTCCACCAAAATTTTTCTCCTTGAAATATGGTACCATATAGAAAACTTGATGTTGGTCTCCACTGAGGACAGTTTGGACATTTGGCAGTGGCAGTAGCTAGATTAGGTACAGTGAGGGAGAGCTCATGTTTTTGGTCTCATGCAGAATCTCTATTCCTCTTATCAGGCTATTCCATTCACACATATATTGTTCATGCATTTAAGAACTGAAGCTGCCAATGACAAGAAGGGTGATGTTAACTGACTGAGTCATTCTTTCTACTTTGTTGTTTCGGGCCTTTTCTCTGGCAGATGTTGTCTTGTGAGTGACATTATGTGATACTTTCATATTTCACCGCCACTCACATTAAGCCATCCATATTTCTTTTTCCTAAACCTTCCTGTCCCTGACCTGCCAATCTTTCTCTGTCAGGTTCCAGAATAACCAATCAAATCGGTTACAAGACTGTATACATTTCAACTTGGACCACTAATTTTTCCATACAAAGTAGGTGATCCAGTGACCATGATGATCAGGTTTATTACCTAAAGATCTTCTCGTTAAGAGAATATTCCACCACCACTCTCTCAGTACTACCCATTAGTGAGGTGGTAAAGAAATTGTAATTTACTTCTGGCCTGCACAGTTTGAGCTAATCCATCCATGAACCTACTTCAGTACTTTCCTTCCTCCCTCATCAAGCTGTAAGGGACCTGTCTCCTCTCACCATATGACCATAGATAGGTGTGAGCTGAGGAAGAAATGCTTATACAATAGTGTTGGACGCCATGGGGGTCTGAGCCACCTGCCTATGAGTTTTCTTATGCCTTCTTGCCATGCTCATCACAACCCTGGATGTGCCACTTTCATCTAATGATGGATTGCTGTTGGACCTACCCAATCTTACGACTTTGTGAGTCTAGAAGATTCCAGTTTGTCATGGGTAGCTCTGGCCACATGGCCACCTGATATACCATGTCCAGGTATCTCCAATGGCCTAGTAGCAAGCCAGGAGCTAGTATCCAAGAGCCACGTAATTCTCATTTGCAAATGTCATGGTTTTGCTTCAGAACCTTAAGGATCCATGTTGTAACAGTCCCATCGGGGCTTACCATAAAATCCATACAGCATCTCTGTCCTCCAGATACCTCTCATACGATAGGGTCTGCCGTATCATGTGGCCAAATGACCAGGTCCACTTGCATCATAATCTGTATCTTCTATGGAACCATTTCCTGCTCTGAATTTACTCAAAGCTGTTAACCTTTTGTGTATTCAATATTTGAATCAGAGCAGTATCCCTAAATGTAGAATATGCTATCTCCATAACCCAAAAAGGCCTACTATGCATTTTTCTTTCTTCTTAGTGGTGACAGGGGTGAGATGCAATAATTTGCTCCTTACATTAGATGGGAAGTTCTGACATGTCGTGGATCACTGCATCTCAAAAATCTTCACTGATATGGCAGATCCCCAAGTCTTCTTTGGGTTTCTCTCCAACCCCTGGAATGCACGTGTCTCACCAAGATCTCCAACGTACTTGCTACTTCTTGATCATTCTTTCTAATTAATATGACATCATCAATATATTGGACCAATATGATTTTCTGCGGAATATCCATACGGTCCAGGTCCTTTGGACCATCCTCTGATGGGAATAGATGAGTTGACATGGCCCTGAGGACAAGATTATACACACATGTCATTGTCGGTCTCAAGTGGATGTGAACTGTTCCTGATCTTCCTTTCTGATAAGATTAGAAAAGAATGCATTTATGAGATCAATGGCCATATTCAATGTACCTGAGATTTTATTAATCTGTTCTAGCAAAGATACCATATCTGGCACAGCAGATGCAAGTGGGCTACTACTTGGTTGAGTTTTTAATAGCACATTGTCATCCTCCAGGATCCCAGCTTTGCCCAGTTTCCAGACCTGAGCCTACACCATTCACTTGGAGAAGGTGAAAAATAAACATGTCAATGCCTATTAGATGTACTCTCAGCTGCCTCACCAACATTGGTAGTCACTCTAATAATTTTTCCCACCTTGCCTCTGCTATTATTTTGGCTCCTATCATCCCTCCTGTTATCAGGAAGCACAGTCCTATAGAAGAATCTCCTAGTGTCAGCTTGACCTATAGAGGACAGCCACTACTGAGCTGGCTCCCCTCTGACCTGCACACTCCTTCTTATCTTGGAAAACAATGTCCTCTGCCCTTCCCACAGAATTGTCATCTAGTGGGCTTTCTAGCCTGTTGAAATATATGCCCATTTCTCCCAGCCTTTTTTATTTCTTCTTCCTCATCTGCCATGATAGCCTGGCAAATGTACCTCACTTATCATAGGCCCACACTATCGACAAACTTCCAAGAGCCACCTTAGCAGCATATTAGCTCTATCTCCCAAGATCATTTGCCAGGGTGTTAAATCCTGTGTAATGGCAGAATGTTCCCATGTTAATAAACTCTTCCTTATTCAACTTTATATTCCACCCTCCTTAATCCAACATCCTCAGGATCTAGTCTTGTACTTATTCTCCTGCCACCTTTGGGCACATCTAAGTTAGGTCTTGCCATGTCTTTGAAATATAGGCTCTTTCCTTCCTTAGTTGACCCTAGCCTTTCCCTGGCTAGGTTATTTTAAGGCTCAAGTCCAGTTATTGGCTTAGAAGACATTACAGGAGGTGGATCCTGAGGGGGAATGTGTTGCCCTACAAGGCAGAAACCTTTGCATTATTTTCAGACAGGAGAGAAGTGTTAGCCTTGAACTGAGAGGGTGAGCCACTTACACACATCCAGAGGGTTCAGGAGAATCTGGGGATCCAAGATGTTTTAATTCATCAACCCTGATATCCTCATTCCAAGTCTTAGCATCCCACTGCTTCCCACCAAAGGTCCTGACCTGGGCATTGCAGACTTGCCATATTTGAAAATTGAATCTCTTTTGGAGCTTTATTACTCTTACAATTAAGCTCTGGGTTTGATCCTCACCTTTTCTGCCTTCTGGCTGCAGGAGCTGAGAATCTCATTTTCAGATTGGGAGACCCAATCTGAAATCAAAGAGATTCATTGACTTTCACACTAGTCTCTAAGTGGTGAATAATCCTGGCCAGCCTTTTATTTTCTTTGTCCAATGCATCTATTGCTCATATCAGTAGCTATACAACTTAATAATTCTTATAATTATTGTTTCCTCAGTACTTCTCAAACATCTGATATATTGAATCTTTTAATATATTCTCTCCCATCAATATCTGTATTAGTTATCTGTTAACGCATAACAAGTCACTCTCCACATTTAGTGGCTTAAAACAGCAATAAACATTTATTATGTCCCATAGTTTCTTTGAATCTAGAATTCTGGAATTGATTGGTTGAGTGGTCTCTGGCTCAGGGTTTGTCATGAAGTTCAGTTGCATGTCAGCTAAATCTTTGCTTATGTACAGATTTGACTGGAGCAACAACAGTCACTTCTACATGGCTGGCAAATTATTGCTAGCTGTTGGGTTTAAGTCGCAGGGTCTCTCTACAGAGCTGTTTGAGTGTCCTCATGACATGGCAGCTGGCTTCCTCCAGAGAGGGCAATCTGAGATACCAAGGTATAACCTTCAACACATTACTAACCTACCCTCAGAAGTCACACACCATCATTTTGGTGGTATTCCATTAGGCACATGGATCACCCTGATTCAGTGCAAGAGGGAACTGCACAAGAGCATGAATATCAGAAGGCAAGGATCACTGGAGACCATCTCACAGGCTGCTTATCACAACATTCCATCCAAATGCACTACCAGTGAATGTTCTAACAACTGCACCACTTCTGAAAATCAGGGATCATTGGTGCTCTCCTTACATCCTTGATGGGGTCTTCATTGCCAATTGGTCAGCAGTGATCTAACACCAAATTTTATTTCTGAGCCTAGATAAATAGATAGTCCATAGTGTCCTCACGATCTGGCCCCAGCTACCTCTCCATACTTGTCCCTGAACATGCTTCTCCTGACTCATTCCTCTCTAGCATAAGAGTCACCTTAACAGACAAGCCACACCTGCCCACCTCATCCTAAATGCCACCTCCCAGCACTTTCTATCTCCTTACACTGGATCATGACAAGACATTGTAGTGGCTTGACAAAGAGTAAAAGAAGGTTAGGAAAAGTAGTCAAATTCTGGAGAGAGAGAGAAAGAAAGAGATGCTAGACATCTATCTATCTATCTATCCATCTATCTATCCATCTCTCTATCTACATATTTTCTTTCATAGCACATCCTCATCTTACATTGGATTAGACATGTATTTATTTATTTGCTATATGTTTGTCTTCCACACTAGATTGGACTTTATGTAAGGTCAGGCTTTGTTTTATTCCATTCTTTATCCTCAGTGCCTAAAACTGGGCCTAATATACAGTGGGCACCCAATACATATTTGTCAAATGAATGAATGAATGACAACTTCTTAGTATTATCAGATATTGCTTTGACGGCTTCTGTTAGGCATATTTGTGGGTTCTGATTGAACCAATGCAAGAAGCCATAGCACTCTATTATGTTCAGAATTGTCTTCTCTGGGTTAAATTTGGCTTGAATTTTAACATAAAAGGTAACATTCTGTTTTGTAAGTGGCCTGATTTCCTTTCACATTGACATCCATTTTGGAGCACCTATTGTGTTGTGAACTTTGCTCTTGCAGAGTCTATTGTTTGACTGGAACCAGGATAGAATCCCTTGAAATTAAAACAAAAGAGATTAAAAAGGATATCATATCACCCCATTTTCCATGGTTTCTTTTCAATTCTTGGCTTCTAGATTCTCACATATTCTCATGACTAATCTGATCCAAGGACTGTTAGGCACCTTGCTCTCCCTGTGATCTCTCTGCTACCTTGTCACCAGCCTTGTCATTGTCCCTTGGTTTAAATCCTGGTTGCTACAGGTTGAAGAGGGGCAAGATCACCAAAATTAACTTATTCCTTGTAAACTTCTTTGGTAGAATTATTTAGTATGCGATGCATGAAAATCTTAGCCTTCTGTTGCTTTGAAATGTTTAAGTTATCCAAGTTCAAATAATATTTACCTATTTAGGCATAAATCTCTGTAATGGCAAGTCTACAGTAGATTACATCTACTCGTGCTTCAGCATTTATCAGAAGTTTTATCCTTGCGTCTCTATGCAGCATCTAGGAGATTCCCTAAGAGATTAATGGATAAGAGAAAAAAACTTTTATTTTATAGATCAATTCAGAAATATTTAAGTTTTACGAAATCTGGCTAAGTCTGGGTGAACACTTCAGTCTTTTTTTTTTCTATTTTTATAGATTTGATTAGCCATGCTATATTGCTAGAATATAGACTCCATGAGAGTGAGGACTCTTCTCTGTTATTTTCACACTATAACTAAAATATCTAGAATAGTTCCTGGCACATATTAGGTGCTTGATATATAAATTTCTTGAAAGAATTAAAATCTGTTATTTTTCCTGCTTGTGTGAGATGTCTTTATAGTAATATTTAGTTACACCAAACATAAACCAAATAAAATTTTTATTGCTTTTCTTTTTAGTGGAGAAATAATCTAACACTTTTAAAATATACTCTTGGTTTTAGAGGTTTTCACAAAGTGTCTTGTTTTCCCTAGTCATGTTTACAGGTTTTAAGAAGTGAGAAGTTTTCATCGTCTCTGAAAATGTAAGAAAATTAGAGTTTCACATCTTCAGAATGCCTGGTGTTAGATTTAGACTTACCGTTAATTCATTCCCTCCACAAACATTTGTTGAGTCATATTTTATGTCAAGCACTGTCCTTGCCTTGAAGTCATTAGCAGGTGTCCTCATTGATCGTATCCTCTGATGGGAGAGACAGACATTGAATTAGTGAATTCAACTGTGTTGAATGTTGCAAAAGAGTAATAACAATGTGCCATGGGAGCCAGCATTCAACAGGGGTGATCTCCCTGAAGACGTAATACTTAATTTGAAATGTGAAGGCTGAGTTGACGTTATCTAGCCTAAGGGTGGTAGAACGAAGTGTCCTGTTACAGGAAGCAGCAAGTTCAAAGGTCTTGAGGAGATGGAAAACGTGATATAATTCCATTTTTGAAAGTAAACTGTATAGCTGGAGTTCTGAGAGAAAGGAGCAAGGTGGTATATCACGTGTGCAGAGAGACTGGCAAGATCCAGACCGTGTGGATTCTTGAAGGATATTTGATTTTGAACTTAGAGTCTGACATCTTGTTTTAAACAAGTGACAGCATGGTCAGAACTGGTTGGAAAAGTCGCTCTAGCTGCGGTGTGGAAAATGGGGTTAGAATGACCTTGGAAGACAACTTAGGAGACATTTGAAATATTTCAGATGAGAGATAATGGTGAGTGGGGTTAGGGTGGCATTTGTAGTCTAATGGAGAAGCCTGACTGCACTGCCTGCACTTGAGTTCTGTGAGTGTCTCCTTATTGTTTTCTCTTTCAAAAATCTACTTTTTAACAAATGTATTAGAGTGGGATTTTGGTCAGTGCAACAATTTGATGCCTGTCTCAGATACTCTTATGAAGAAGATTCTCATTTTTAACAGGTCCAGTGGATAAAGTTTCCTTCTATACATTGAGCTGCATCTTTCTTCCTGAAACTCGTGTGATCCTTGGGAACAATGCTGACCAAGCCTAATTCCTCTATGATATCACTGTCCATCGAAGACCATGGGGGTGCCCCCTCTCCAAGTCTTGCCTTCTCCACACAAAACATCCATAGTTACCTTAATTGTTCCTAACATGATTTGATTTTTAGACTTCTCCCCTATTCTGTCATGCTTATCTGAGTACCTTATGATTTGTTAATCCCTTTAGAATAAGAAGGCCAGAATTAAATGAAACACTTCATATACAATTTGACAAGCTCAGAGTAGCATAAGGTTATCACAATCCATTGTAACTTTGCAGTTAACTAAATATCTTTTCAGAAAATTTCTGTACTTGAACTTTTTTTTTTTTAGCACAAATAAGCTTTTAGAAAAAAAGTACTATGAAAAAATTCTTTTGGATTAAGACACTGTCAACTGGTAAAATGAAAATACTCCTACAGGGCAGATAATGAGTCGCCAGCTACTCAAACCTTAGCTTATAGTCTTTGCAATGGGTCAGCTGATATCTTCCTATCAAAATGAAATGTAAAACACACACTTTGAGAGAGGAAAGAGGATTCCTGATCCAGGACCCCATGGAAGCTGGCTGGGGACTAAGCTTCTAAGATAATGCAAACTGGGTGAATTGAGTGGATTTGGAAAAGGGATAACAGGAGTAAGGACAGTAACAGTAAATGAGAAGTGGAAAGATGTAAAAAAGCGATTCAGCTGTAGGTAACAGTTCTCTGCTGACAAGGCACTTTCCAGGGCCACTTTGAGACAGCTGCCTTTGTAAGATTAGTCCAGGGAGAGGAGCATAGAGGGCCTGCCATTTCTGTACTTCTGGTCATGGATAGACGCCCAAGACCAGTGAGGATGATAAAAACGTAGCAAAAATCTTTAAAATACTAGTGTTCGGGTGTAGAGCTGTTGGTCTTTGCAGCCAGGCCTCATGAACTGGTATACCACCCTCAATGCATCAGATTAAATGATTCTTTAACATCTGATCCCCACAGCTCCTTATAGAGGAGAGTCAAGGACTGATTAAATTTCATTTTCTTTTTGTGTGTGTGAGAAACTGAGAAGCAAATGTGAGAAGGCTTTTTCCATAGTTATAGATGACTTCAAGGGCAGAGCCAGGAATAGACACCCTTTTTCATACATAGTTCAATTTCCAGCCATGCTGAGCCCTGCCAGTTGCAAACTGATCCGGTGTGTGTTGGCAATCTGTCCTCGCGCAGAAAGTGATCGCGCGCCACATTTTCTGCACAGAGGCATTAGCGTCGGCATCTGGCAAAGGTTGCCTCTGCCAGTGGAACGGCTGCCTGACTGTGGCTGAAGCTAAAGAAGACATCGGGTTTCTCACTGTCTTTCTGGGTCAGATTTGCTTAGGGGAGAAATGCTTTGTCAAAAGAAGAAATGAAAGTAGGACTTCCTTCTCAGGTCTGTCTTGGAGACACTCTCTGGAGCTGCAGGTTTCATGTAGCTTTCATAAGATTACAATGCTTAATCTCAGTAGGGTTATCAGTTCTGTCATGTATTATAAACCCTCCAATCAAGGCAGTGGGAAACAGTGTTTCTATTTAATACCCGGAGAAATGGTGGAAGTCAGCGATTGATACCAACACAATGATGGGAAAAAGTGTCCAGAGGTGCTACTCACATAATCTCATTTTACAACATCTTGAAAATTCAATAGAAAGGACTCCACTAACAATACCATTACACACTACTGATTATTGTTCTCAAATGTTCCTAAAGCCCTAAAAGCATAACTCAACAATAAAAATGCTCTATAAATACATCCCAACAATGTACGTAACCGTATTTTTTCCTTTCAAAACAAAAGCACACAGTGTTAGTCAGAAGTTGTATAATTTTACTTAAGTAAAATTGGCTAAACGTGCATTATAATTTTTTAAACATTATGTAAATATAAATAAATGAAGTGTTCCTTGACATTGAAAAGTATTTCCAAATAATTTAGAAAAGGTGGAGAATATCAAACCTTGGATTAACTACCTATTTAATATGTGATCTTTAATGGGAGACGTATTTTGTTTATCACGAGCTCTATCTTGTCTGCAAAGACATTTGGGGAAAAAAGGAAAATTTCCTTACAAAAAGCACGTATAATTTTCAAATTTCCTGCTATAAATGTGTCAACGATTCTTGGTTTTATCTTTTGCCATTAAGACTTTTGGAATAAGCATATTTTTCAAATGAGTTAAAATTGTAGGAAGTTACTACTACATCCTGTCCAAAAAACAAACAAACAAACAGCTGAGAGCCATACATGCGAAGTCTGCTCCAGCTCTTGAAAAAAGATTTCAAACACGTTTATAAAAATATATTTTGTGCTTCCTGTTTGTGCTCACACCATGGAAAGACGGGGGAGTACATACCAGTCTACTTACTGAGAAAAACTACCAATATTATTTCCCCAAGATACTATATTATTTTATTCTGTAACGGAAAGAGCTAATGAATAATTTGGTACTTAACACTAAAATATCTAACGATGTTAATTTTTTAGCTTAAGTTGCAATTTAAATCATTTTTATACTATTGACAGCACTGAACTATAAAGTTAAGGACATTCCTAAAACAATATTCAAAACAATTTGGGAACTTCACATCCTTAAAAAAAATTCATATTTATATCAAAACTCATTTTCAAAGTGTCATAACGAATTCCTTAAAGTTTGTTGACAAAAAATTTAGTGCAAATTAAAATTTAATAGCAATTAAAAAACAAAATCTGCATGTTTATATATGTAGATTTAAATATGTAGATTTTATTTTTAAAAATCTCCTAAAATATTTTATATTATTACATATTATTAATTTCTGTCACTGAGGAATCTGGAGTTGTTATTAAAGTGCCTCTAGAATATCTTTTTCATAGCTGGACTATCAGGACAAGTTTCTAAAACTTGTTTTTAAGAATCTACAATGCTACTGTAACCTTACACTTTATTTAAATACTTTTGAAAATGACTATTTTAGGCTATATTCTTACATGGCAATTTTATGCATTCAGTGAGATTTGTTTACAGTTTTTATAAACAACATTTATTGGAGAATGCAAGAAGTATCAGAAGAGAAAGTTTTAACTCCCTCGAACATAGTAAAATGATCAAACGTTTGGAATAGAAGCAAATTGTAAAAATCTGTCTTAACTGAGACACTTTGCCCTAAGGAACCATGCCTTTGTGTTTGATGATTCTTCCATAAACTTGAGTTTATTTTTAAAAATTGATCCTTTTCATATAAGAAAGTTGATGGAGAAAGAATTTCACTTATGAGCTTTTCCACTAGACACTATAAAACTCCATCACAGCACCTAGCATTTTTGGCATCTGCAGTTGAACCCCACAGTTGAATGTTGCCAGATCTTATTTTGAAAAATGGTGTTGTGTCTATAGGATGCAAATCGTCTGGATGAAAATTCAAGTCAAATAGAAAAATTTCTTTGGTCCTAGATGCTCCACTTGAGTTGAGTGGTGAGAAGGCCAAAACTTCAATGGCACGTAAAGAGTTATGGGGAGAGAAGAGAAGGGAAAGGAGTAAAAAAAACAAAGAAAAGAGTGAAAAGAGAAAGCAAAGAAAAGTAGGTTTCATTTGGAAAGAAAGATTCCATTCCATGCTTCTTAGTGCCGTTGCGCCTAAATGGTGTTGATTTCCCTCCAAATAAAGGGATGGCTGATCGACAACGTAGACTCTACATGATCATCTTTGTGGGAAATGTGACATTTGATTAGTTTTTCATTTTTCTTTTGGATAGCAAACGATGTTTTAATGTCATTTTCTTTGCTGAAGAAATTGAGACTATCATTTATATCAACAAAGAACACTTTTCTAAACTAGATTTTTTTTTTTTCTTTTTGGAGGGAGATTAGTCCTGAGCTAACATCTGTTGCCAATCTTCCTCTTTTTGTTTGAGGAAGAGTGTCGCTGAGCTAAGATTGGTGCCCATCTTCCTCTACTTTATATGTAGGACGCCTGCCACGGCACGGCTTGATAAGTGGTGTGTAGGTCCATGCCTGGGATCCGAACTGGTGAACCCTGGGCCACCAAAGCAGAGGGCAAGAACTTAACTGCTGCACCACCGGGCTGGCGCCTAAACCAGATGTTTGGATATTTAAAAACAGATGCTAGAATAAAACTAACTTGTAAAATGTAGGTGGGGAAACTTTTTAGACAGCTGGATCATCCTTGACGGCTCTTAGT